GAAAATTATATGTTGAGTATGGTTGAGAGATTTATATCCATGCAGAAAGCAGCTTTCCCAAAGATGAAGTTCCATCTGCTTAGTTAAATGTATGTGACCTAATTCTTCAAATGCAGAGTACTACGCTCACTGGAAGTCTTGTGAAAATGCTTTTTAAAAAATCAGCGTTGTTTTTCAACAAAGTATAACGAATCAAGATGGCGACAACACCATAAAACAGCCAAACATACATAAGAAGTGTCGAGTGCCAGCTCGACATCCGAAGAAATCAGTCTCACACCAAGATGGGTTGAAGAAATATGGCTGCTCTAGGGCTACTGCAGCACAGCCTTTATTGTGTGAAGTCAGAAAGATACAAAATACAAGCGAAGCAATTTGTTCTCAGCCAGCAGATAAGGACCATCGCACTAGACCATGCGAGCATCAGGCCATGCTACGTTAACCAATCATTTGGGACAGCACAAGCTGTTCACGCGCTGTTCATGCTCCAAGGATGCTTCTAGCTATGAAATCACCCTGCAATAATAAGAACTTTGCTCATGCTCTCATGTACAAGCAATCATTTTCCCACAAGAAGAGCCTGATGAATCAGGCCAGTGGAACATCTATTCCTGAATCCTGTTGTCACAGTGGCCAGCCAGGTGCCTGTGGGAAGCACACAAGCGGGAGCTGAGCACAACTCCCCTTCTGCGGTTTCCAACAACTGGTTTGTATGGGCTCAAGTGTAACTCAAATAGTATCCCTCAGCCCCCATCAAAGGTGTCTCTAAACACCCGGGTCTACTTGGCACCTAAATGGCACATTGTGTTGAGCCTAGGCAGGCTTCCTAAGGGAGGGCATTCCATAAAGTCAACACCTTCCTGTTCCTGGTAGAATTTGTCTTGTAGAATTGTAGAATTAATGTAATACAATGTAAATGCTAATTGTACTTCAGGCAACAGGCATGCAGAGTGCCAGATGTTTATTAAAGTGCTAAGGGAGAATCATGGGGGGGGGAAGCAGGCTTAAAATACCTTTAAAGCCTTAAACAGCATGCAATCTGAGTAAGAATCAACATATTCTGTTGGGTCTGAAAATCAATAGTTAAACACTACAGATATAATCTGACTACAGACTAGACATGAAAAAACTTCAGTTAAACTGGTTACTGTGAGTAGGGTAAGAAAACTGTACTTATCTTTATATGTTTCTACTTGGAACAGATAAAGCAATCTTTTTTTGAAATGAAAACAATTGCAATCTCATCAGCTGTATGTATGTGATAATGTCTTTTTGATTGGGTTTCCTAGTCACCTCACATTCAACATAATAGCCTTTAAATCAGCCATCTCTTCATATCTATATAGGAAACTTGAAGACATTCATCCTGCTCAGCCAAATGTACAATTCTTAGTTTTACTGCCTCAGTCTTAATGTGCATTTTCATACTGTTAACAAAACTAATTTAAAAGATGAAGAGAAAACATAAGAAGGACTAGACAAAACTAAGGGGAAAGGGAGGGGGAAAGAAAAATTTTAGTAGTGAGAAATTTTAAAAATAACAAAAAGAATAGAGATAAACATAAACTGGACCACTGAGCACCTTGCATGATCCGAACTTTCTGCTGGTATAATGGATACCTTCATGCCTCTTATGGTGAGGAGGAACCAGTGAAGCTTCACTAAACATGCCTAAGGAACTTGATGCAGAAGAGTGTAGCAATGATAGCATCATGAATAACAATTTCAACAATAGTACTAAGATTTTTTTGGGGGGTGTGTGTGTAAAAATTTTAATACAAAAATAACCTAAATTCTCCTCCTATATCAACTATATCTATATCAACACATGATATAGATAAAGTATAGAGGCAATTGATCTAATCAAATGATTTAAATATATATGAGCCAGGGGGGTGGGAATCAAGATAATAATCAATAGGGTCCTTTCCAACGCTACCAATTCTATGATTCCCACGATTCTATGAAAGAATGGAGGGGTAGAAACGGGAGAAGGCGAAAGCTTGAAGGAACTATACAAAATGGAGATGGAGGGAGTTGCTATGTGCATGGGAAATGTTGTGCTATTCAATCAAATAAGAGCTGCCTCGAACACCACGTTGTAGAACAATATTCATATTTAACCCTTAATGGTGGTCTGCGATTGAGAAAATACACACACACACACACACACACACGTGTATGTTAAATTAGGCAAGGCCACTAAGTGCTGAGATACTTTTTGTGGGTATCTGGTTTTTAAATTTGTGTGGGGGGGGTCATTTTCTTGCCCCCTCCCCATTATTAATAAAACTATCAACACAACAATGGACTTACCTAACGGATTAGTATACTAGCTGGCGGGGGGGGGAACATCTGCTTGGGCACCAGAGGCATACCTAGGCTCCCTTATGCTCTTGGCAAGGAGCTGTACTGGTGCCCACCCCTTTCCTTGCGCCTTAGTAAAGGGCTGTATTGACAACCCCAGCCCCATCCTTGCACCCTTGCCAATCACCATTTTTTCCACCTTTCTTTGCAATTTTTCACTCCCTCCTGGGCCTGCACTTCAGTTTAGGCCACTCCTAGGTACACCCCTGTTGGGCACTGAGACTGAAATACTACTTTTATACCCCTTTGAAAAGCAGTCCCCCATGTTACATCTCAGAATATTTTTGAAACTTCTGTCAGCTTCAGGGGCTACTGTTAAATAAATCCATGTTCAAAGTTCCCCTGCCTGTATGGAGCTAGATGTGTGGTTCTTTGGATCCAGGCTAAATAAATTGAACTAAGAGTATCCTCCTAATTTCCACATTTTTTTTATTGCATGTGAGCTTTTCTATGGAATATCTCTATCTGTATTAAACACTCAGAAGGGTGATTGAAAACTCACCCCCTTCACTCTTTTCTCCACAATACAAATATTACAAAACTTTTCGTAACATTATTGCATGTGTACCTGCATGTTGAGTCAAATACATTTTGTACTTTTTTTATGTGTGAGAAGTCTCAGGTAACCTTCATAATGCAAATCAATGCAGTGACTGCAGAGAGTATGAAGCAATAGAATTGGCTGGGAAAGGAATGACCCAGGAGAATTTTCTTGTTGTGTGTAGCATTAGGTGTAAAATGGCATCTGTTCCTATTTGAAATAAGAAACATTAGAATGGTAGAGAAAAACCTGAATAACAATTGTCATGTAGAGCAAAGGCTTGAAACAATCTGCCATTCTATGACTAGTGTTCTTATATTGGAGTACTGTGAGCATTTGCTACAATAGATTTTTGACATACACATACAACACAGGATGAATATCCCAAAGTGTAGCTAATTGTGTTGAACTAATAAAGTTCTGATTTTCTACTTGTTGGGAGTTGGATGATATCCAGCTGCTGAGGCTTCTACTTAGCCCTTGGTATTTACAGCATTTTGAAGAAAGTTACATTTGAAACACTTTAATAGTTAAGGTAGCCAAATTTAAAATTCTGAAACTTTCAGTTTAAGAGCTGGGATTAGTTGTTGAGAGGATTTGCAGCAATAAAGGCTTCTGCCTCACTGCTACCAGTCTCTTAATTTACTCATCTCTCCTTGACCGCTAGAGCAAGAAAACTCTATCCCTTGGGTTTACAAAAAGGCCTGTTTGAGTTGCAGAGCAGAAGTCTGAATCTCTGCGTTAACATCCAACAACATTAGCCCTTGTCCCCTTTTCTTGTTTGCTGCATTTGATTCTACTCCTCTGGTAATTACCATGGTAACTCTTGCATCTGTTTCAGTTGACTGCTGCCAGGAGCCTCATGTACCATCTCTTTAATACTGGCCCTATGGGATACTTGGAACAAGTGCAGAATGTTCCTGCAGCAATTCAGCCAGTTTTAACACACAGCTACTGTTGAAAAAAGCGTGAAGTATATAGCAGCAGGGCACTTTAGAGTGGAGTAAGCTGGAAGCATAGTGCTCATGTGAATGCAGACTTCAGCATAGGGCTATGCATGGAACTTTGTGCCTGCCATTCTCACAACCCTGATTAGTTCCAAATGAGTTCTACATTTTAACAGCTTTTGGAGGGTCTGTTTGGAAAGCAAATTAATTTTCAATCAGTTAATGGTAAACAGCTTCTTATGCTTCCGTTTAATTCTTTGCAGAAAACTGCTGCTTTTTGGAGGCAGGGAGGGGGAAATGTTGTTGTCCACATTATCTGCCACACTAGGTGGTATTGCCCTCCACCTGCATGCTTTGACCCCAAGCAACAAGCCTAGCTGATCTGCTGCGCATAGCTGCCCCCTGGACCTGGTCTTCCTCCTATTACTATTGGCAGATTGATGGTCTGCAGAGGCCCTGTGTACAACTATTTTGGATCCAGTTTCCTAACACTACAGTACCTAAATGTAGCTATGTTAAAATTAGGGTAAGAAGCATGTTTCAAATTAGATAACAATCATGTTTTTGTCTTCACACTGTGCTCTCTCCGCGAAAAAACAATTTAGGAACAATCCCTGCTGTGGGCCAAGGAGGAGGAGGAGGAGGAGGAGGATAGTAATAATAAGAATGCAAAACCTTTGGAACAATCAAGAAAAATGTGATAATAACTATAACCTCCTTTTCTGCCATGCGGCCAAACAACATGGGCACAAATCCAGGTGAATTTGTTAATAATGATGATGCTTCTATAGCGGGCTCCCTCTCCCTCCAGATGTGTGGTACAAAGGACGCAGGGTTTAAAAGTGAAGAAGGGGCGATGAGGGCAACAACTCAAAAGGGGAGGGAGAAGCAGAGAGGCGGAAATGTCCGTTGAGAGAAAAGACTGGGCTCTAACTCTATCCGGTGCTGAGGAAAGAACCAACAGCGGGCGAGGAAATGGGCTTTATCCCCTCGCGCCGCTCCTCCCAGAGTCTTCTCAAAAAACCACACTGCAAGGAGCATCACGTCATCCTTTCTGCTCCCTGCGCCTGCGCAGCATTGCGGTCCTCGCTTCTATTCCTCCTTCTCTCCCGCCTCCCCCCCCCCCTTGGAAACATCTGGGAAGAGAGGAGCTGAGGGGGGAGAGCGCCCTGTTATGTGTGTTCCCTCGCCCGAGTGTCAGGCCTTGCTACCCACAATGCCATGCGGCCCTGGCCGCTCCGTCATGGAGGCAGCAGCGGGGGCCCCTGAAGCAGCCGCGTCTGCCGCAGCTGGGCGGCCAGGAGCCTCGGCGGTAGCGCCCCGAAACGCTCCCTCTCGCTGCTGCTGGGCGGCTTGAGCCGTCCCGCCTCGCTGGGGGCCCCGTCCAGCATGAGCGGCGACGGCGGCAGCAGCGGCAGCGGCTCCTCTTCGTCCGCTCCTGGCCGCTTCGCCGACTACTTCGTGATCTGCGGGCTGGACACCGAGACTGGTCTGGAGCCGGACGAGCTCTCGGGTGAGTCAGACGGCAGCCCCGCCAGCCTCCCTCCGAGAGCCCGAGGGCTGCTCTGCCGCCCGGCGTCGACGTGCTCTGCCCTCCAGGGAGGGAGGCGGCGGAGGGGAGAGGAAATCAGCCCAGCCGGGGCATCATCATCATTATTATTTTATTTAGGCCGGGAGGGGGGGGGCGCTTTTGACAGCGGCTTTACTTCAGCCCCTGCCTGGCGCGGGTGAGGGGCGACCCAGTTCGGGGCTGAGGGGTTGCCGTCGGTCCCCTTGGAGAAGCGGCTTCTTTCGCGTCTGCTGAGGCGAGAGGGGCTTCATGGATGTCGTCTCCCCTCCTTGCCAGCTCAGGAGGAGTTGCTGTGCCTGGGCTACTTGGCAGCGGCGGCGGCGGGTGGAAGCAGCCCCTGCTTTGTTTTGGCAGCAACAGGACCCTCATTCTCTCTCCTCCCTCCTCCTCCCTGCTCCTCCCTGCTCCCAGAGCACTTGGCCTTCATAATAAGGAGATGTTGCATCTTGCTGTCGCTGTGGGATGCAAAAGCAGTTTTAAGGGTCATGTGGCAGCAGTTGCCACAGCAGTGGCATTAATTTCACTGCGGGGAGGTGAGATCTAGTGCACTTTATTTTTGTGTGTGTTTACACTGTTGTTCCTTTAACCTCTTCCTGAAATGCTGCCCTGACTTCAGATTAACATCCTTCTGCCCGCTTATTCCTGACAGTGGAAACTGGTACTGTATTTATTTTTGTAATCCTACAAAATAAATAATCATTTAAAATATGTGGTAGGATGCAAAGGGCTGCTCATGGAGATGGAAGAGGAGGAAAAAGAAGACACTCGGCCACAAGATGAAACCACTGGTAGCAGCAATTTAGGAACCATATTTGCAGAAGTATAAGGAATGGTTGCGAGTCTAGAACTCTTGCCTTTCATAGTCTTTTGGCACAATTTAATAATTTCCCCCTTCAAAACCTATATAACTGGTAATTGTTGTTTAGTCATTTAGTTGTGTCTAACTCTTTGTGACCCCATGGACCAGAGCACGCCAGGCGCTCCTGTCTTCCACTGCCTCCCGCAGTTTGGTTAAACTCATGCTGGTAGCTTTGAGAACACTGTCCAACCATCTCGTCCTCTGTCGTCCCCTTCTCCTTGTGCCCTCCATCTTTCCCAACATCAGGGTCTTTTCCAGGGAGACTTCTCTTCTCATGAGGTGGCCAAAGTATTGGAGCCTCAGCTTCAGGATCTGTCCTTCCAGTGAGCACTCAGGGCTGATTTTCTTAAGAATGGATAGGTTTCATCTTCTTGCAGTCCATGGGACTCTTCTGCCAATGTAGCAGTTCGAAAGCATGCCAGTGCAAGTAGATAAATAGGTACCATTGCGGCGGGCTGGTAAACAGCATTTAAGTGTGCTTAGGCTTCCATCATGGTGTCTTGTTGCGCCAGAAGCGGTTTAGTCATTCTGGCCACATGACCCGGTTCCCTTGGCCTGAAGCAAGATGAGTGCCGCACCCCATAGTTGCCTTTGACTGGACTTAACCGTTCAGGGGTCCCTTACCTTTAGGTAAAGGTAAAGGTACCCCTGCCCGTACGGGCCAGTCTTGTCCAACTCTAGGGTTGTGCGCCCATCTCACTTAAGAGGCCAGGGCCAGCGCTGTCCGGAGACACTTCCGGGTCACGTGGCCAGCGTGACGAAGCTGCTCTGGCGAGCCGGCACCAGCGCAGCACACGGAAATGCCGTTTACCTTCCCGCTATAAAGCGGTACCTATTTGTCTACTTGCACTTAGGGGTGCTTTCGAACTGCTAGGTGGGCAGGAGCTGGGACCGAAGACGGGAGCTCACCCCGCCGCGGGGATTCGAACCGCCGACCATGCGATCAGCAAGCCCTAGGCGCTGGTTTTACCCACAGCGCCACCCGCATCCCTTTCCCTTACCTTTACATACATATAAATAATTATGTGGCTCTAGTCCATGAATGTTTATGACACAGTAACAGTGTAACCCACTCTATGCATGCTTTTGTGGAGCAAAAGGTAGTATGCATAGAATTGCAGCCATTAATTTTTAAGGAACCCCAAGATTATTCGTTCAATACATAGAATGATTATTTGCTGGTTGTATCTTGTGTTGGTTTTTGCCTGTACCCATGTCTATGCATTTCTTAATCTTGTAAACATAAATAGTTTACATTTTATGTGTTGTTGCTTACTCTTACCAGATCAGTTCTAGATTCAGGTAGGTAGCTGCGTTGGCCTGACACTGTCGAAATATATAAAAAAATTAAAAAATTGTCCAGTAACACCTTAAAGACCAACTAAGTTTGTTCTTGGTATCAGCTTGTATATACACGCTTCTTCAGATACACTGAAACACAAGTCACCAGACCCTTAGCACTATATATAAGGGTCTGGTGACTTCAGTTTCAGTGTATCTGAAGAAGTGTGCATGTACATGAAAGCTTATACCAAGAACAAACTTAGTTGGTCTCTAAGGTGCCTACTGGACAATTTTTTAATTTTTTAAATATATTTTACCAGATCAGTGTTAACTTTTTCTGTTTTGGCACTGGTAGTAGATTGGTACATATAAACTGCTGTACAGATCTTAGCATCTACTTTAATAAGGTATGTGTAATTTCTTGGAGGATTAAACTAACTGCATAATTTTGTCTCTAAAATAAATGGTTGAAAATGAAGAATATTTGCATGATTGGGAGTTCTGTTTATGTTTACTTCCTTGTTGTTTTTCCATATTGCCTCATAGACTTTGAGGCATAGATTTCATATATAATGGTGAAGTATTTTGTACTAAGCTTTCCATATAGTGTGCTCCTTAGTGTGAGCAAAGCTATGGAAATACTAATCTCTGGATTATCTGGAATAAAGTCTGGTGTGATCTTGTGTTAAGTGATATATAACATTCCAGTCTAGCATGCAGACTTATATGTCAGGAGAGTCCATGTATCCCCATATCCAATTTTTCCTTGTTATCCTGATCTGTTTCCCCAAAACTCCTAAAATTATGCTAGCCATGGAACTTGCATAGTTAATTCCTTCCATAGGCTGCAATGGGCAGGTATGGCTTGCAAAATGATAAACTATTTGTCTTATGCACTATGAGACAGTAGGGCTCTGAAGAAGTTGATGACTCTACCACAGAGTTCCCCACAGGTTAGATTGCTTTGCCCATGTTATTTTGTTAGGAATCCCGAAGTAAAAAGTTGTATTATATTGTGTACCTCTTCTTTATTTATCTAAATGGTACATGTAAGATGCTAGAAGTTTCACAATATCTCATTTAACAGCTTAACAACTCTGAGTGGGAGCTCATATTATTTTTACCCTGCTACTTATTAATTCTATTATTATTTACTTTGGAACAGATTGAGAAATAGTGACTTACCCAAAACTATCCAGGAAGCCCATGACTGAGCTTGGATTTGAATGAACTCAGGTCATCACTCGACTCACCAAACCATGAGTCAGTTCACATATGAGGTGTCCCCCATGCAATTCCTTTAGAAGCAGGTCTACCCAGAGGGTTATGGAACCTGAAGCAGGCGTGATGCTTGGGGCCCTGCTGCTACCCTTTAAAAGGGCTTATGAACCTGTGTACAACATTGGCTGGAGCACATCAGCTGCTCCTTACCTTGGGAACAAGCAGACTTTCTGCACTTGTTCCTGTGGCATGTACAGCTGGGCATTGACTTTGAGACACATTTGTAAGGCAAAATGACATTAATAGTTGACAAGTGAAAATTTTATTATATTTACATTACAAAGTTAAGACCCAAAAGACAAAATGAGAAGTACAAAGTCAGGGATAATTTCTGCCTTTAAATGCATGCAAGGGGAGTGGAAGCCTCTTGGAGGAAAGGAATGAATAGAGACCCCTGCTGTGTAAAACGAGTCAAGGTGGAATAAAGCATTGTTATTTTTTAGATGACAAAGAATTAAGTCAGATGACAAAAGTGATGTAGTCTGGTGAAGCCACTATATTTTAAAGGGAAAATTTCTAAGAGTAAGTTTAGGATGAACTTCAAGTCCACATAAATTAGGTGAGGTTGTTTCCATCTTGCTTTATGCTTTTTGCAAACTATAATTGTGATGTGTGTTGTGTATTAAAGCAGTTTCAACAGTTTTCATACCTTGGTCCTTAGATTTAAAATTGACACAGCTCCTACTGCAATTCCTCTGAGAACTACAATTTGAATTTAGCAGACTTTTAAAATTTTGGTGTTTCCTGAAAGATATGTTTACTGGAGTAAAAAGGGATATTGTGTAGATTTTCCTCTGCTGAATGCATTTTTAGCTATAAAGGCATCTTTGTTCTGCTGAAACAATTTGTCTAATAAGTGGCAATTGTTCAAATAAAGCACTGGTATTACAGTGTGGAGAGGCGGAGGGAAGGAAAATAGGATTCCTAAATAAAAGCTATTCTTAAAAACACTAACAGTAATTTGCTGCACGCTGCAGTTTTCCTCAGAGTTAAGATTGCCTTGAGCACAATCTCTCTGGATGGTATTCAACTACTTTTACTCAGAGTAGATCCATTAATTTAGTGAATATGACTAAGTTAAATCCATTAATTTTAATGGATCTTCTCTGAGTGAAACTTTTTTTAACACTACCCATAGTTCACTGGGAAACTGACAGTTGTTGCTGGAACGCTTAGCAAGGCTATAGACAAATTTATTCTAGGAAATAAATGTTGTGCTGCCTTCTAGGGTTTATTCAAGAATATAACTTACAAATGGTAGTTGTATATAATAACAGTTTTCATATATGTGATTTTATTATTATAAACTTTAAAGTGATATTAGTTACAGTAAAGCAATGGTGCATAACTTGTGAGCTCTGGCCCAATTTCAGACAACCTCTGTAAGTGTTCAGTTGAGACCTTCTGCAAGAGTGAACTGTCATTCATCGGAGGAGAATTTGTAATAAGGGAGAACACAGAGAACTTTTATGGGAGAGAGCATTCAAAGCCAAAATATTCCCCTCCCTATACCCACTTG